AAGGAATGGATGAGATAAAAACAAGAACAAATCAACACCAATGAGTAAATAGCATGTACTTTGTAAGCACGTCGCGTCGTGCGTCGTGTCGTGCGTCGCGTCGCGCTTCAGGCGACGTAAAAGGCGACGCAATGCACGACAAGACGTACGACGCGACGCACGACGGTACCACGCGACGGACGACGGAGGGGCGACGTTTAGGCGGCAATGAATGCAACATGGAAAGGACCTAAGACAGCACGACGCGACGGCACGACGCGACGCACGACGCGACGCGTCGTGTGTGTACAAAAGTAATGGCAAGAAGGCTACGGTGCAACCCGACGGCACGACGCAAGGGAGCCGTCGTGCCGTCGCGTCGTCTGGTCGCGTCGCCTGGAGGGAGGCTAAAGAGAGAGAGAAATGTTTGTCGTTTATAGTACACCATAATAAACACCAAGAAGCAAAGGGTGACAGCACACGACGCGTCGCGTCGTGCGTCGTGTCGTGCGTCGCGTCGCACTTTAGGCGACGTAAAAGGCGACGCGATGCACGACACGACGTACGACACGACGGGCGACGGCACGACGCGACGCACGACGCGACGCGTCGTGTGTGTACAAACGTAATGGCAAGAAGGCGACGGTGCAACCCGACGGCACGACGCAAGGGAGCCGTCGTGCCGTCGCGTCGTCTGGTCGCGTCGCCTGGAGGGAGGCTAAAGAGAGAGAGAAATGTTTGTCGTAAATAGTACACCATAGTTTACAGGGGGCGCTTCCACTGTTTTCTTTCATTTCCGCCTCCGGTACTTGAATAGTAGGGTACAGTCCACTAATTCAAGCCCCATTGAAAACAGTGTAAAATTGGCACTGTTCAGGGCCCAGTAACATGCTTACCAACATCCTTGAGATTGTTGAAACGCAAATAAAATTATTGTTTGGTCCCTAATCTTTTGATTTCCTTTCCATTTATCGTGGGCTAACCAATTACATTTTTAATTATTCCCACAAAACAAAATCACCCCCGAAAAAGGAGTTTTCCGAAGTCAGATTGCAACCATTTTTCAAGTGGCAACCCTCAACCTTTTTGGTACTTAGGACCATTTTTCAGTTGTAGTTTTTAGCCATTCTGCTCTCATAGGATAGCTCAAAGACCCAGGCAGTTGATCCAAGCAACGATTTACACAATCTCACCATTTTGGGGCCGAACAATCTCCTTTTTTCAGAAAAATGTTGGGCTGCTATTTCTTACTTGAATAGTGGACTGCATGCACCAAGGACATGGCATTCGCTCGTTGTACGCTGCCGCCATGGGCATGCAGAGCCTTGAACTGACAGCTTTTGAAGTATTCTCCAATCGTACAATATAGAT